AAAGAAGACTGTTGAGAAAGGATGTTTTGTCTAACATTTAAACCTTATATCTCATGCGTTATGCGCACATGTTCCATGATTGTCAGATATTGTACTTGAGGATCAAATGGGAGTTTATGGAGATCTTTCTAAACATTTCTCTACGTTAAGACTTCTGAGGCTTTCCCGTTTGGATTTGCTCTGCAAGAGATTATTACACTTAAAGAGACTAGTATATAAAAGATACTCGGTAATGCATTTCGCTGATGGTCTCTTAATGTTGGTTTTCTAGATCCCAAGGGAGCTGATGGTCCTGTTGTGTCCGTCTGTGATGAGCTGAGTATTCAGAAGGAAACTCCTGACTGAAACACAAAATGTCTGTCTTGTAATACAGCCGCTATCCTCGCCATCCTCTTCCTCGCACGCCTCAGTAAGCTGATTTAAATTCTTATCTTTTTGTTCGGTTCTAAAGAGAAAATCTGGTGCGTCTTGAATGAGCATGCTTGTGTAGTGCAGCTAAAACGATAATTACACTGCAAACAGATTAGCAACAGCGTGAACATGCTGACATGAATAATATTTAGCAAACACGGTTGACCTCATTTCATGCACTACAACAGTACATTCATCGTAGTTAAAGTAACCAGTATGGAGTGTCGCATCAATAATTCAATTGATCGGTGTGTGGCAAGCGATGATAAAGAGCATCTCATTCATTTATTCATTGTTCATTCAACATTATTCCTGTCTGTTAAATCTGTGAGGAAGAATCCTTCTTTGAAATTGATGCCATTAAATTAAAAGAATACTGGACTTGTTGAGTCTCAATCCCAGTTCGTCAATACTGGTTTTTTCTTTTCAGGCCCTGTGGATTTTGCAAATCCATCAGGGTGCGCTAGGAGAAGCCTGAAGAACCTGATTATTTAACTTCGTTACATACGAATCCTGTCAGTGTAGTGAACATTTGAAACCAAATATGACCAAAAGTCTGTTTTAATAAAAAGCTAAAACGCGCAGGGTCACTACAGTGGATAGCTATTCAAAAGCAGTTTCTGTGTTAGAAGCATTGTTTTTAATAGTATTAGTTGCACGGCAGCCACCACAAGTGGAAGCTTGTCTCCCATATACTGCACCCAACTTGCCATCTGTTGTAAGTGCAACAAAAAGTCTGAAGAACAAGATGGCTGAAGAATCAATTTTATAGTAGGAGAGCCTTTAAAAAAATGGAAATGAAGTGAACAATTAAGGATAATAAGTTGTTAAATTCATAGCACTGATTAATGTCCAGAGGAAATTACGATTAATTGGATTCATGCTGGCACTTCATTTCTACTAACAATTCATACTACCAATTGAAAAGCTTCCTGCAGTAACTTGAAGTTTTAAAAAAAAAAACAACAATATTTTGTACAAAAGTTAACATTGAACATGCATTAAAACAATGATATTTTACTATATATTACATTAAAAATATATTTATTAATGTTTTTAATAATACAGTTTAAAACTCAAAACACATGAAGGGCAAATGTGCAAAAACATTCATATTGTGATTATTTTGTACGGATGTGATATGATCATGATTTTCGTGATTTTTCTGACAAATTCGGTGTTTTCTTCCTCATGGATGTATAGCTCTTGGTTTGTAAACTTTTCTAAGAGTGAAGGGCCTGTGAATATAGCTTGTGTTTCCTGTTTATAGCTAAATAATAGTCTATACTTTAAAAATAACTATTTCTTTTAGTATTTCTCTGTTGAAATCAAAGAGTCTCTGTGACCGCCAGAGAAGGCTTGGTGACTCCTAAATAGGGGTCCCAACCCCGTAAGTTGGGAAACCACTGCTTAGTCGATAAATTGCATATTTTTAGCATCAAAATTGCATCTATATTTAAAGTATTCTGTTTGAACACTAAGCATGATAAATCAGTAAGCAGCTGGATGAGCTTTAAGAATATTGTATGACACAGGCACACCCTCAGTACATGACATGAGCTGTGAGCCGATCATGCTGGGGGAACACAGTTGACCTAATTATGATATCAGTTGAGAGTGATTTAAGGCAGACAGATTACGGCTATAATTAGTCACAGGAGGTACACAGCAGAGGAAATAACACAGAAGCACAGAATACTGTTCTTAAACTTTCCAAGACTCACACAGTGTTTGGCTTCATCCTTTCCAAACCCTGTGGCCTTCCGAATTTTAGTTCATGTGTGTTTAATCTGCTTTATGTTCACTGGCGCATTCAGTGCCAAAGAATGAAGTCAAACAGCGAGGATGTGGGGGTTCAGGGAGAGTGGATGGCGTACATTGTAGTTCAGGTTTAAATCACATCCATGCTGCAAGATGAGTTTTTAAATCAACACTTTGTAGTCGTCCTCCCCCCTTAATTATATGATCTAGTTTGTTTAATATTAAACCAATGAACCCATGTGTTTCTTTAGCCTTGAAACACTTCCATCATGTTTCCACTTATTTTCCTGATCTGAACCTTTTCTCATCTTAGTGGGCGTGTACGGACTGTGTGTGATTGACATCTCTGTTAAGATTTGCTGTACCTGTTGAGGCAGTGTATTGGGACGTTTGACTGACTGATGTCATTTTCAGCGCAAGCTCCACACAAGTTTACACCGAGCAGAGTCTAAATCAGGTGGACTTAACCTGTGTGACCGTTTAATTGAGTGGTTATTTCTACTTTACTGACCTGTTAATGTACCTCAGTCATGCTTTAGCTTCCACGTTACGTCTGATCTGTTGGTAAATCTTTGTCAGGTGTACTTATAGTTTAAGTTTCTTCTATTTTGACAGTTTTCAACCACAACATTTTCTGTATCAGAAGGTGTCTGTGGTGTATGGCGTTTTGTATTCACTGGTACTGCACAGCTCTGTAATCAGAGTTGGACTGTTACCTCATCACTCACAGATTAATCAGAGAAGTAAGAAGAAAAGCACCATGGGTTCACCAAACGCTCGGGCCCTCTTTCAGCTTTGCAATTTGAACGGTGCTCTTTCAGCTTGTTCATTCAGAACTTTAAAGTACACAATATATATAATTAGGGGCAGTCGTGTGGCAGAGGCAGAGCAGGTCGTCCCTAATCAAGAAGATTGTGGTTCAATCCCGGCTCCTGGTGCCACATGTCAAAGTATCCTTGAGCAAGATACTGAACCCAAATGTTCCGATGCCGATTGCAGTCGGTGTGGTTGAAATGTGTATGAATGAGTTAATTTGTGTTCGATGGACTTTGCCATCACTGGGTGCAATGTGGTGAAAGGCGAATGTGCCATGTTAGTGTAAAAGCGCTTTGGTGGGTCGGAAGACTAGAAAGGCGGTTATAAGTACAGGTCCATTTACCAAATAAAACGTATGCAATGTACCTGGCGTAACTTACAGCTATAGTATGCATAGCTAAAGCTATAAATTTGCCGCATTAAAATGGTCTAGGAGCTATGTTCTATAGTAGTTGAGTTGTGTTCTTACATTATCCAAAGTTTCCAAAATGTTCAAACTTGAGAAATCTGTCATTTTATTCAGAAGGCTGGTCATACACTGACTGTTTATCCAGTCTGGGAAGCCACATTTTTACCATCCACTGTTTAGATCTTGGTGGCTTTTTAATCTAGATTTGACCAAAGAAAGATTTTAGTCATCAGGACGTGCTGGATCTTAATTATCAGAGAAACAAGTGAGCTAACGTTACAGCAGCTCGGCTCCCCTCGTGGATGTGAGAGACTCCAAAGTGGCAGAAGTTATATGTTGTACGTTTAAGTACATGAATAAAATGTAACCTATGTAACTTAAGCACATCACCTAAATTAACTTACATACGTTACTTTAAAGAAATTGCTTATGGTCTCCTGGGTTAAAGTTCTGTGTTTGATTAAGCCATCCATCCACCCCACCACCTGCTCAAAGTCAGCTGACTTTGATGGTGGACGTGTCCACAAATGACGCTAGAGGGTTCTACAACGTCATATTTTGAAGCAGACGGCCACTAACCAAGCCGCAGTATTATAGATGAGTTGGGAATGATGCAGCGTCAATTATGGAGTATTTTATCTTCCAAACCCAACAGTGTGACTAAACAAGTGTCTGCAGTGTCTAACAAATGGTTAGAGATGCAATAACATCCTCATCCAGCGAACAGTGGTCCAGAGGATGTCATCATTTCAACCATCTGTGCTTTTACTGCCAGTATATTCAATTCAAGTGCACCACTGCAGAAATGGTGCTGTTGCTAGCAAGTGCAGCACATAAATCATCCAGATACAGATTCGTGTGTCGACACTTGTTCCACACAATGCCCCCAAACCCACTGTGTCTCTATTACTCTGCTAAATCTTCAGTGCATGAATCCCGAGCGAGCGCTGTTGACATCAGTGGATAAATGCTCAACTGCTCCTCTGCTACACCTCATAAAGCCGTGACGTGGTGTCTCCCGGACTGACGCCAAACACAGACGCACAATCTCGTCATCTTACCAGACACCCACCTCCATCAGCGCCCCTGCCCCTCCCTCAACCTGCTCGCTCCAAACGTCAGCTCAGCATTGTGCAGCTGTCAGAGGGGTTATGTAGGAGGCGTCTCTGGACGTGACCTCCGTGTCTGGAGTCCTAGCTCTGGGGACTCGATTGTTTGTACAAGTTTAAAACAGTCTTCTCTGTGTGCCAGTTCTCAACAGATGGGAGTAATGCCTGGCACGGTCCAGTGTGAAAAGTGCACGTCTGAAAGCCTTTCCTGCCTTGTTTTCATTAGAGTAATGCCCCTCCTTTGGGTCAGTTAGCATGGGGAGAGTGCCAGCAGCTCTGAAATGGTTTGTTTAATTGGTTGAGTGTTTAAACAGATCCCAGAGCTAAGACCTCTCCCACACTGTGGTGTGAACTGCATGGTGAAGCTAATGAAGCAGCCTCTTCCATTTTACCTCTGGGCCCTTCCTCTTTGCTCTGATGTAATCTTCAGCCACTTGACTCCCCCTTTCTCTCTCTGTGTATTTCTGTGCGTGTGTGTTTGTGCTGTCTTCCAGGTTTCGAGCCAACAGGTCCCCACTAACTGTGTGATCCAGAGGGAGGAGGAGAAATGCATGGAGATGATGGCCTCGGATGATCCTGGGAACGATCCAGAATTTGGTAGGATTTTGCGAGTGTGTGTTTGTTTAGCCTTTAATCCCTTCCCCTCATGCCAACCACTATGCTGTTGATGCTGCAACAGTTTTGGCTAATTAAAAAAAAAAAAAGAATAAACACAGAGATTAATAACAAGAACATCTTGAAGGCCTCCATACTAATGAGTGGGAGATAATTCTACAAATTGTAGTTTGACTCCGACCTGCTCGTCTGCAAAGAGAGATCATTAGAAGGACTCCACAATGTGTGTCTGTGCTTGATTTGTAGCATGGAAAACCAAAGCAGGGCCAACAGAGAGATTCAGCAAAGCAAATTAATTCTTTTGTTTTACTTTGTGCCTCTGTCTCCAGAGTGAGGGAGGCGCAGATCGAGGCTTTATTTGGCAGAATCTCATGATGATGATCCTGAAAATTAAAGCTGATCAGTGAGGCAGTGAGTGACAGGCGTCTCTGTGGCTGATTATATGATGGATGAAACGAGGATGAGACTGAGAGAGAAAGGCCAATCCGTGCCAATTCTGCTTCTTAACCTTGTTTAGAAGTCTATTTTGGTTAGGAAAAAACAGGAGCTACAAGGATTAAAATGACTTTCCACTTGCACATGCACATCATCAGAAGGCATCTTTCCACAGTCTGTACAACAATCACCAACGCTGGTTTGGTTGAAATAAATCTTTATACTTCTAATGGTGGCAAATGTGTCAAAGTACGTCCACTAAAAGTAGGGCTGCACGAAAGTATAAAAAAATAGTAAAAGTCATATATTATATATTTTGACAGATCAGATTAGTGGAAATTTTCCATCACAATTTTCATTTTCACTGAAAAACAATTAAAATCATGATGATGTAAGAAAGAAACACGTTTTCTTACATGCACAACAAGATATTAAGGCAGGACTACAATACTTTATACTAATTGCACTTTCTTGCAATTTGGATATTGCACTTGACCATATTGTGATTTCAACAATATTTTGATTAATTGTACAGCTCTAAATAAAAGTTGTTGATTTTGCCACTGACAGGCTCAGATTGTGTCTGGAACCCTGCAGAGGTAGACCTTTTGTTTAACCAGAAACAGCCGTTATACAGCTTACTCAGAATGTGGATACATTTTATTAACCAAATCATAATTTATGATGATATTTTGTCTTTCCACAAGCTTTTTACTTGTAAATACTTACTTGTAAGTATTTTTACAGTGTGTAATTAGTACTTTTACTTAAGTAAAGGATCTGCAAACAAACTCAAGCTCAGGATTATTGTTCTTTGAATTAAGCTTGATTATTATGTTATTATATTAACATTTTATAAAATTTCCTGCAATTATGAAGGGTCAGGAAATGGATGAAACCCATTTAAGTGTTTATTAAATTCATAAAAACCCTGCTGTAGCATTTCTGCTGGACAAAAGGAAAACTCATTAGTACCATATTTTGCTGGGAAGATGTGCACATCATAACAGTTTTTTGTGTGTGGCATTTTTGAAAATCTTAAACAATAATGTTCTGCAGATTTATTGCACTACATCTGCACAGCAAACTGGGACTGACTTTTCAAATGGATGTTATTTGTGTTAGTTAGGAAGCCTTATAGGAGTGTTGGCTACAAAGCAGAGCTGCTTAACTAAGTCACAAACTAAAATTGGAAATCAGACCATCCTCTTTTAGCTCCTGCATCTCTGTATGCACCATTAATGCAAACCCACATGATTGTTCCCAATATCTCAGCCACAATTTATGCCTATATGCAGCAATTTATTCCTGCTTTCCAGTTAACTTCCATCATTTTAGACCGACTGGGATTCAGCTACAAAATGTGTATTATAATAACCAATCATCCTAAATTTCATTCCTGACACAAACTGCTGTTTTTATGGAGTTTTATATGAAATAAAAAGCTGCAGCAACAGAAGAAATGATGCAGAGGCGGCACTAGCAGGAAGTAACAAATAAAAATCATTGAATTCTACCAAAATTAGATGAATTAAAAAGAAATAATGGCTGCTGGCTGACTTTTCATTTACTATCTGAGAATTTCAAGGATGTGTGATTTTGGAACAATGATGAGTGAGCTGCAGGTGAACATATGAAATGAACATATGGCTTTTTCTAAAGAATCACTGTGTTCGTCTTCCTGTCGTGTCCTCAGGCTGTCCCTGGATGTGGGACAACCTGACATGTTGGCAGCCTGCCAGGATCGGTGAGGTGGTCGAAGTCAACTGTCCCGAACTCTTCTCTCAGTTCATGAGCGAAGAAGACTACGGTCAGTGGCGAAGAACTTCTTATACACAATTAACAGCAGATTCTGTATTTTATTGGACTTTTTGAGAGTCCCTGTTTACACATGGTCTTGTTACAGTGTGGAGATTTAGGGATGCCATTTCAGTGAACTGCAGATTTACTGTGCTAAAATTAAAAAGGTCCATAGTGTGACATTTAGGAGGATCTTAAATATGGAATATAATATGTATAACTATGTTTTTATTAGACAGTCCACAACAAGTATAACAGAATACAGAATCAGAAATCTATTCTCTACATATTTCAAATTAAGGGCTTCTCACTGTATTGGTGATATCATTGGTTGTTTTTAGTGTAAATATGCAAAAAATGTACAGTTGTGTACAGTAACTTCAACTCTCACTGAAATAATTACAGTCAGTGCGCCTGTTCCTCTTCCTGATTTCACTCTAGAAATAAGTCTGTTTGTCATAATGAAATAACGCATCCTGTGTCTACAGAGCTGGGGAAGTTGAGTCGGAACTGTACCGAGTTTGGCTGGTCAGCGACCTTCCCTCATTACATCGACGCCTGCCTGTACGAGGAGGGAAACAGCAGCCGTTCGGTTCGTATATGACTGCGTCTGCTTCAGATTTAAGGATTCACTGAGACATATTATACAGGAAACGCTGCTGTTTGTTCAGTTTCTCTTTTGTTTCCATCTCAGGACATGTACTTTGTGTCAGTGAAGGCTCTGTACACTGTGGGCTACAGCACCTCTCTGGTCTCCCTCACCATGGCCATGGTCATCCTATGCAGGTTCAGGTGAGACGGTTGGTGGTTAATGGAGGGTACTGCAGCTGGGTGGGGCAGTGGTTTTAAGATGAGGACATCCCTTTCAAGATGAATTATGAATAAAGTTTTTGAAAATAATAAGTCACACTACCACCCTCCCACCGAATGCATAAACACCAAAAGACAAAAAAACTGCACCCACAAAGTTACCCAAAGCACAACATGTAACACAGGACAAGTTGACCACAAACAAATGACCAAAAACATCCAGATTAACACAGGCCTACTGCCACTAAGCCACAGAACTACATTTTTAATAAGTTTGACGAAGCCTTCAAATTACATCACAACCCTGCCACAGAATGGCTCATTACGGTAAAAAAACAACAAAAAAGACATTAATATCAAAACTACTCAAAACAACCAAAAACAACTAGAAGTCTGATGGGCCGGCCAAAATAAAAAAATATAAAAAGAAGAGAAGCCACTCAGAGTAGGGGCCGTAGGAACCGGGCTTTTCCCTCTACACTAAAGCAACTTTAAAGGAACTAAACCTAAAAAACATAAATAAAGCCATAGAAGCAGGAATCATCAGAAAATGAGAACACAAAAAAAACAAACTGAAGTCTACTACTACTACTCTGACTCCATTCATAACTGCTGCTGCTCTGGCCCTCTCTTTAGTGGTTCTCCCTCTAGATGAGCAAATCAGCTACACCTGAGAGGAACTCGAAGTTTATGAATGCTTTAATTAGTGTTATCATAACGTATCTTTAAGTTGAATGTGTCGATATTTTACAATTGATGGTTGGCTTTAGTGCTGTTTTATGAGTTTTAACACTTTTTAACACCTTTTTTTGTATATAAATATACCCGTTCTCTTATCAACCCTTTGCACACATTTGCACCATTGACATTATTTTACACCACATGAAATACATATTTTAAAATAGAATTGTTTTTATTTTAATTGTATATGAAGAAGAAGTTGACATCAAACAACTAGATTTTTGCCACGTGCTTAAAAATGATATGATGTTCAGCATGTTCATGTGTTTTTCCTCCTAGGAAGCTGCACTGCACCAGGAACTTCATCCACATGAACCTGTTTGTGTCGTTCATCTTGAGAGCTATTTCAGTCTTCATCAAAGACGGCGTGCTGTACGCCAAAGAGGACAGCGAGCACTGCTTCATACACACTGTGAGTAACACAAAATCCCTGCGCACATGTTAACAGGCAGCAGATGATTTCTACTCAGCTTCATTTGAATGTTCTTGCTTTCTTCTCTCACATTGTTGTATTCTCGCTTTTCTTGAAGCTGGAGTGTCGAGCAGTGATGATATTCTTCCATTACTGCGTCCTTTCTAACTACTTCTGGCTCTTCATCGAGGGTCTTTACCTCTTCACTTTACTGGTGGAGACCTTCTTCCCTGAAAAGAGATACTTCTACTGGTACATCATCATTGGCTGGGGTAAGACACATCGCACGCACTTCTCATCTGATCAGATGGTTATGATCCCGACAGCGGTTTAATGTTTGTATCCTGTTTGACGACAGGAACCCCCACAGTGTGTGTGACCATCTGGGCGGTGCTGAAGCTACACTTTGATGATATCGGGTAGGTTTATGAGCAGCAGAGTTGAGTCTCATGTTGAGGCTTGTATGATCTGGCACTGAATGTGCTGTTTTATCTCTCAGGTGCTGGGACATGAATGACAACGCTGCCATCTGGTGGGTGATAAAGGGACCTGTGCTGGCTTCAATTATGGTACGTTATCACCCTGCTCAGTTCAGTTCAGCTCAGTTTTATTATCCCAGATGAAAAACAACATAAATACAACAATGTTGTACATACAATATACAGCACATCATAATACATCGGTGCCTAAATTACATTTCCTTAAAATTTCATGTGCAAATTAAAGCTGCCTGAACGAAAACAACCAATCTGAGCCGAGAAAATGTACCCAAAGAAATGAATTAATCACAGTAACATGAGTAATTCATTACATCCACTCCTGAATTTACATTTTTTCCACAGATCAACTTTGTGCTCTTCATTGGCATCATCATCATCCTCGTCCAGAAGTTACAGTCCCCAGATATCGGTGGAAATGAATCCAGTATTTACCTGTAAGTCATTTTACTTTCATTTTATATTTTATCATTAAAATTTTTCATTAGCTGCAAATTATTTCAAGATGACTCTTTGTTTTCAAGATGAGATGTTGTAAGAAAATATCGATACACTTCATTTACAGTGGTTGGTGATCCTGGTTATAATGAGGACACACATGCTGTAGGCCTCTCATCATAATGTGTATGTGTGTGTGTGTGTGTGTGTGTTTGCAGAAGGTTGGCCCGCTCCACTCTGCTACTGATCCCTCTGTTTGGGATCCACTACACTGTGTTTGCCTTCTCCCCTGAGAACGTCAGCAAGAGAGAGCGGCTGGTGTTTGAACTCGGCCTCGGATCCTTTCAGGTGACTCTCTCTCCTTCACAGTCTGGATTTAAAAAAGGACAATCTATGTATAAACTGTGGATCTGTGGCCCTGTAGAGGTAGTTTGGGTAGGGTGTTTGCTTCTGTGGTAATTAAATTCAGCTTTGCAACTTGTGCAGCTTATTTATGTTTTCTGCAACTTTTTAAAGTAAAAATTTGAATCTAAAAAGGAAGTAAAGAAAATGCAGCTGTGTTAGTCAAGTCTCAAATGTTTCAAATTCACCAAAAAACATTAAAAAATTAATTTTGACAGTTCTAATATAATTGTAATATCTAGCATTCAAACACTTGAAAGACTGACTTTGACACAAATAATTGGGGACTTGAACCAAAAAATGAATTTTAAATATAAAATATATTTTGGAAATGGTAGTTAAAAAGGCTTTTTTAACGGTCAACTTGCAATTAAATAGAAATGTAATATCAAGAGCATTGAAATTTGGACTGAAGTCACAAAAAGGACAATTTGATCGTGGTAGACTGATCCAATACTGAAACTAAAAGCCCAGTAAAACTGCTGATTATAGGCTTTTCCTGTAGATTATTCATACAGTGCGCATATTATTTTGAGAGTTGATGTATGAGCATTTGTCTCAGCATGCTGATGTTTTTACAGTAGATGTGTCTGTGTTTCTGTCTCATGTTTGGGCTCTGTGTCTCTCTTCAGGGCTTTGTGGTGGCCGTCCTCTACTGCTTCCTGAATGGAGAGGTAAACCTCCTTTAAAACAGTAACTGACACTAATATAGCAGTTTCCTGAATGCACAATTTAATTAAACATACAACATTGCTAACAAGCAGTTTATCCATAAGGAAAAGATGAGGTTTGAAGGACAAATAACTTGAATTGTGCTAGATTAGGCTCATAATTTACTGTTTTTTGTGAATATTAAAAAAAATATTGAAAATCAGGAAGAAAAATCTTTATTACAAACATTTGTTTGTGTACAAACAACTTGTAGTGTAACTGTTCTTAGCAGTTTGGCACATAATCAGCTCATGTACATTTTCTCACCCTTTTTTCATTTCTTCACTTTCTATTACATGGACTATTTTCTAAGCTTAGCTTCTTGGAACAGGAACTACAAAATATGTTTAGTATGAGGGAGCATAAAATCCAGCAGAAAATTAGTGTATTATTAATAACATGTTTATTTCTTTTAAGAAAACAGTATTTTTCAGTGAAAATCAGTAAAAATCTAAAAGAATGAGCCTTAAATACAGTCCAGAGAGAGCTAGAGTGAGACTGAGGGACAGTGAGCTTGTCTCTTTCCAGCGAGGTCCATTAATAATGACCTTGTGAAGTATATCCCTCAAGGTGCAATCGGAGATCAAGAGGAAATGGCGCAGCTGGACGGTGAACAGGTACTTTGCTGTGGACCTGAAGCACCGGCATCCTTCGCTGGCGAGCAGTGGGGTGAACGGGGGCACGCAGCTGTCCATCCTCAGCAAGAGCAGCTCGCAGATCCGCATGTCCAGCCTGCAGGCCGAGACGCCGGCCACCTGAGCGGCACCGGCGGGGACGCCACGTCCGGCAACGACGCCGCCTCCGGACCTGACGCCGCCAAACCTGCCACGCCCACCCTCGTCCCGATGACCAGCCTCACCAACCCGTTCCTCAACCCGTACCCCAACCCATACTCAGACGAAACCATGATGGAAACCCAACTCAACTCCAGCGACCTAGAGCAGCCTCTGGTCTGATCTGCTTCACCCCTGAACCTGACCCGAACGTCAGGAGCCAAATAATGAATCTCTTCGTGACCCGACCTCTGACCTGGTTCAGCTGGAGTGAAAAACAAACTCCTGCTCCTGAGCAGCCTATCATCTTCAAAGGGCATGATTATGATTCTAGTGTGTATCTAGTGTCTTGTTGGGCTGTAACATGCAGAAGAAGCATGGTTATCTCTCTGTACATATCGTATTAGTGTTTAAAGTTGTCTGGTGCTACAGTGTTTGCTGCTGTACAGCACAGGGGGACCAGAGAGCTCTACAGTGATCATTCCAGTCTGTCTGACATTTTTACAGTTGTCCTCAACTTTCACACTCGAAATGTATTTCAGACTGTAACTACACACTTTATTCCTCTTTAAATACAGACACCATAGCTGCTGTGCCATTAGAGATGGTTTAATTTAATACAGTCAACACTGGGAAATGTAAATACCTTAAAGGGGCAGACCACTGATTTTATCAGCCTGTGAAAACAGTTAAAATGTCTTGTTTGGCTCTAGAAGACGACAGAAAACCTGCGTTAAAAAACTGAGGGTATAATGAAAGATGCAGGTGTTTACTGATGAGGAGGATCTATCAAAAAGATACAGTCTGTTGCATCATGGGAAATGTAGTATCTAGTGTTCTTGGAGCCCCAAACTCTAGAGTAAAATTCCCGATATGTCGACCTCTGCTGCTTCGATTCCGACCCACCCTGATGTACAGTAATTACCTTAAAAGTGTAGTTTTGTTAAATATGTTTAATTTACAGTGTCAGCATCAAATCAGTGTTATTGATTGGTCAGCTGAAACATTACGGACCCCAGTGGCTAATTTCAGTAGACTTGTTACCCATTCAGTGCTGAAGGCGCACAGGCGGCTGCATCAGCTCAGTGTTATTACCCACTGATACTGGCACAATCCTTTGTTTCCTGTTTGAACTGATGTAAAACAATATAATTGGTGTTGAAGAGAGGAGAAATTTCCTCTGGATCTGACAGGTGGAAAAAGCAGTATTTATGAGAAGGACATATTTTCTACGGTTATGTGAAATGCCAAAAAGAAAAAAATGGGGAAAAAAACAGGGTTAGATGACTCCGAGGGTCTTCTTTGGATGAGTGCTGAGGTTTGCCGACTACGACCACAAACACAAACCTCTCTTTTAAACCTCAGCACCGGAACCCAGACGCCTCATCAGTGCGTCTGTGGAGTTAAACAGCCGTTAGTACAGAAAATGTCAATGAAAATGAACTCACGGCAAAAGTATCACGAGTTCAACTGCTTGCATGAAATTGCATTTATTGTCCATGTGTTCTTTTATTTGTGAGAATTCAGTGTTTAATCGGATGTTAAATTTCTTAACAGTTTCTTTTCCTTCATGAACTTTGCGGCTGTTGTAGAGGCGATGCTCTATAATCCTGATTCTTTTGTTACTTTTTAAAGCTGAGCCTCTTCAGCAGCCTCCTGCAGGAAGTTTCAACATTGTACTGGTCGAAGTGAAGGTGTAGACCAACGGAAACATCACAGCACTTCACTGTTTTTGGATAGAAATTCCTAATTTGTTTCTGAAAAATTTGATGAATGAGGGCTTTTTTTCCCCCTTCCCTCGTACCACCTTGCAGTATCTCTGTCTTTTTGCAGTTATTGTCTCTGGTGGCATTTGATCTCTTTATGCGTGAACACAAGCACACTGAGATGGATGTTACTTTCGGAGAGGGGCTTTTAACTCGGGGGGTAATTCTCTCATTCCAAAGACGAATTAATCGACTCCTCTCTGAGTTTTTTTTGCACGGCCGTATCTGTTTGCAAAGGCTGAGTTAGCTTTGCAACTGATGTCACTGCAGATTTTTCCTTTGGTCTGACTCAACTATCCTCTGAATCCCAACGTTCGACTCTACTTTGTGTCTCCAAAAGTGCCTTTAAGCACAAAACAAGTATTTTGACTTCTGTTGATGATTTAAAAGGAAAAAAAAAGATTTGTCTTTTAATTTCAAAAACGAAACTGCAAAGTAAAGAAAGGGGTTGAACAAAGTGCTTTTATGATGCTTAAAACTAAATCAGTATTTTAAACCTGGAGGCCTTCAAACTACTTAAACTCGTCTTTGCTAAAGATGAGCAGAACATACGACAGAATCAAGCAGCGCTACAGTAACTCAATGTACAGTACACTAAACCACACGCACAGAAGAATAAATATGTTTTAGTTTTTATATTTTACTGATGACACATTTTCTCTACAGCAGAGAAATACAGGACCATACAATATCTCCTGAATATGAACCACAAGACTTTTCTTTATGATATTCTCTAAAATATGAGACCGTTTTTTTCTAAATTTGTCTGGGAGACTGTATTCTAAATTTAATTTAATATGACTGGACTGAGTTTCTAAGTAATTTAGTCCGAATGCAAATGTCTGAAAGTGTCTTTAAAGACAAACTTCAACTGGAAAATCAACAACAAATAAGGGAATTGACAGATATTCTTTTCTGAATACACATTATTTATGTCTGATAATTATAAAAAACAATAGAAAAGTACTTTTTACATACACAATACACATCATTTTGGTAATTTGCAGGTAAAAAGACGTCAAGTACGGAGTCCTGAAGCTGACAAAATGTAGTTAAATTATTATTATTTAAAGAAAAATAGAAGAACAAAATCAAGTATTAATAAAGGAATAAAAACCTTTTTGCTATGTTTGCCAGGAGACTGAAGTAAAAGTATAAAACCTTTAATAGTGTTATTTATTCTCAAAAACTTAGGTACCATGAGTTCAAATTACCCCAGCATAACCCACCTCTCTACAAAAATGTACCTAAAAAAGGCTGTAAAATGTACATTTTTACATTATTCATCTAGCTGTTCTATTTTCTGTACATTTTATCTAACTACATAATGGTTTAAATGCAGTTTTAAAGTCTTCTCCCCACAGCCAGAAGATATATATATATATATATATATATATATATATTTAGCAGTAACAATTGTCAAATTTCAAATATTAAAATAAAACCGCAAAAGAATAAGACGTCTGTATTGTCCATGACAGCCCTCTGTTCATAAAACACCTAAATTTGGTAGAAAAACCAACATTTTTAGATATTAATAGAGACTGAAAGCTTATTATTAATTTTGGAAACAGCAGTTGACCAAAAAAGGACCTTTCAAACATGATCTTCATCCAAAGAGCTTGTTATCATGGACTTATACATACATTTTTCTGAGAACTTTAAAAACTTTTTGCCCACGCTAATCCCTTTTTCCTATTTCATCATTATGCATATCTTGTGCTGAAATAATATTTTGTCTACATGCTCTTTTTATCAGCAGTAATTTAATGACTATATTTATGGTAGCTACGGCGATAAATCTAGGTTAAAACCACTAATTTAACCTTTGTTGATGTCTAGATCACATATCCGAAACTCTGTCCATCAGTCTTAGTACAAACCTTCACTTTTTAACAATATTTTTGTCCACTTTTACTCTAAATATCTTTACATCTCTTCACCTGCAAATGACCAAATCCATTCTTTCTGGGAGTCCAGACCAGGCAAAGGCAAAGAGAGAAAGGAAGGGCTGACCGGAAACTGTACTGTCCTGTTGCTCTGCTGTGTCTGTATTCAGTGCGACCTGAAATAATAACAGTGCAAATCCAACAGCAGCTATAAGGAGGCCCTGTTTCATCTTGTGATGTTTGGGGAAAGGGCTGGACAATCACCACCTCCTCTGCTCTGGTTCAGTTGAACGTTCAGGCGAGCTCATCACAAGCATTATCACAATCTCACCAGGACCACGAGCCTGATTTTGTTAATGTATTTATAAATGATTTCCTTTAGTGTTAATATGGGAGTTGGAGCCTTATATTGCCAGTACTATGTTGATGTCAGACAAAGATGTTGCTATTATTATAAGAATAAATATTGATTTGAAACTGTTTTAAACTATGAAGTAGTTAGTTAAAGTGTTTGAAAGGTCTGTAGCCAACCTTTGTGACTAAATAAACTGCAGTTTAAATGTGCGAGACAGAAACAAGCTGCCAACATCGTACCTTGTAAATGTGGTTCAAAGTGAATAGCTGTCAATTAAAAACTTTGCGCTGTGATTTTCTTATTTTTATTTTCATTTTTTAAATGGTGATCGTGTTTGCTCAAAGTATAAAGCCTCCTGTGATGCCTCTGTACTCTCTAATAGGCTGATGCATGCGTGTTAAATCGTTTTGATCTCATTTGACCAGCAAATGTAATCCCAAGGGAGGGTCGAGCTTTCAGGCCATTAAGGGATTCCGAGCCGCGTACCCGTTTTCGAACAGAACGAGTGGGATGAAGAAATTAATAAGCTGGAATGCGGATATTGGGTTTCAACTGTGAACGATTCATCAAACTGTAGCTCTAGTCCCATTGAATACTTTTCCTTTGAATGTTAATCTTTGCAGACATGAGGAAAAGTAAAGTGCCACAAAAACTGCTGGACTCTATTGGTTCTTATTGGTTTTTACAGCAAAGCATGACAAGAGCTTTGGTTTCAAATGTTTTTCTTTTTAGCTTTTTGATGGTGGTTATCTTTATTGAATTGCTTCACTGTACCGATTGCCTGTTTTAATCAGTTAGAGGTAAAAAAAAAAAAATAAATGTTAAAATGGGGCTTAGCAGTTTGCATACTGATGGCTGAATGTAAAAGTAACTTGCCTGCTTCTGTCTGCTCATGAGCTCCTCTTGTTTTCATTTGATCTCTTTAACTGCACAGTGCACTATTTTATCTCGTTTCGGTGTGCACATTAGAAGGGTTTTTTTGTACATTATGGAAGTATCGACAATAAATGTTTTTAACTTGTTGGCTCAATGTTGTTGTGTGTGGTAAATATTTTAAAGTCTTCTGGCTTAAAGGGACTCCAAAACCTCTTTTTCTTCTTACCTGTTGTGCTTTAAACCCATCTAGATTCTTTGATGTGAGTTGCTGGGTTTTGGAGATTTGGCGAAAATATGTCTGCCTTCTCTCCAATATAATGGAACCAGATGGTACTCAGCTTGTCATGCTCAAAACGGCAAAAAATACATTTAAAAAACTCAAACTATAATCATTACTGGGTTACTCAAGATAATCCACAGCTCTTGTTGTGAGCAGTTTTATGTAGGAACTATTTTCTTTCCATGTGCAGAAGAGAGCGCCATCTACGCATATAGTGCTGTCTGGTTCCATTAAACTGGAAGACTGATATCTCCAAAACTCAGCACCTCACACCAAAGTTGGTTTCCAGCTGGAACCACAAAATATTTGGTTTTCCTTATTAACCAAAGTGGGTGTGTCATATTCTACAGGTCGTTGTGCAACGCCTTCTGTCCTTGATTACAATGGTTCCACTCAAAGCTGGTGGAAACTCGAGTTTAAGAATCTTTAACAAAACCGGTTCAAGAGCCAGAGCAAATTTGATGAAAAAAAAACAGCCTCAAAGAGTTTTGTGAAACAGAATAACACACTGTTGGTTTTGGTCTTTTCATGCAATGTTGACAATAAGAAAAAAAACAGACAATCACCGTCCTTATCCTGTAATGTTCGCCCCCGGCTCAAATAAGAAAACACCAAAATGAGAAACTTGCATTCATGTAGTAAACCGGAACCTGTAAAAGAAAACATCATCTTTCAAGTAAGAAAGGAGAAATAACACTGTAAGTGGATGTAATCTAAAAAAGCAAAGTCCAGACACAACATGAAAAGCTTTCTTTCAAAAACACCACATCAAAACATGCTCAGTTAATATCATCCTTCACTTCCTCGCTGCACAATTTCAAATTGGATGAAAGCTTTGTTTTTGTCATTTGAGCACAATTCCTATCACGTCTTGAATCTGACACAACACAGAAGCACATCTGTTATGCTGCACAGCAAAGACTCAAGTACATGGTATAGTTTCATAATCTTAAATATATAATTTTCTTACACAGATTAGGACCGTACTGTAGGTGAACTGCGGAGAAAGAGTGAGTTTTACTTTATGAGAAAGGCACTGTAGTGGTCAGTAGCTGAGTAATGTAATATTTCCTTCCATGAATAATACTGTACCTACACATACATTAACAGTGTACTCAACCTGCTAGCTGCAAGTCAAAAGAGAAAAATTCAAAGCATAGATACACACATACTGCGAGCCAACTTGAAAACAGCTCATGTAGTCTCACAAATTATTTCTCAGAGGAAACAGGTTCTGGATTAGCATTAGCATTAGCACAGCAATCACTAAACCTATGCTTACAAATAGGAAAATGTAAAGTATAATTATCTCCACATTTTGCAATATTACAGCGTATAAGAATAAAACTTACATGTATGATACCAAACAATGTGTTAAATATAAATACCAACTTATCTGTTTCAAAGTAAGTTGTTAAATCCCTTTTTATATATTATTTATGATTCTTCTTTTTTTTACAGTAACAAGTTGCTTTAATATGGTTTATAAATCTGTTGGAGGAACTGTACTGTTGTCATAAAATACATGTAAACTCTAGTTCAATTCTATTTACATTCACACAAAAAAAAAAACATAAAAACAATAATTTGACAAATAAATAGCTTTTACAGTCTGGTGCTCCAGATGTGCCCTAGTGCACTGTGCAACATGTTGCATGCAGAGCCACTGATGGTAGGTAACTTGGGCACATTTCATTAAACGAAGAAGGTTTAATTTTATAAGAATTCTCTCTGAAATATGGTTAAATTATAGTACCAAGGTTCAAGAGATCATTGAATCTGACAGCAAGAATGACACAGAGGTCCAAATTCTGGAGAATGGCACTAATTGATGAAGTAAAAGATTGGAAAATGAAATACAGATCTGCAGGTTCAAGCAGCATTAAGTGCATAAGTGGTGATCTAAATATTGTGAGAGAGCCGTGTGAACATCATGTTCTTTCAGGGACTAAAGTATATGCCAGGCATTAGTGAAAAAAAAATAGCAAACTCACTGCCATAAAACATCTTTAAAATGTACTTATGTATCTGAAATGTGAGTGGACTGATGGCCAGACAGCCCATTGATGTGCATATGTATAAATATGGATGTGGCTCCAAGTTTTTGAAAAATATTCTCATCTGACGAGGCTCTATCTAAGATCCATCAAGTCTTCTCTCCTCTAGGCCGTCTACAGCAGTGATATTCAAACTGGAGACCAACAGGGGTCCCCAGTGTAAGGAGGAATATAATATTTAAACTTTTATTACATTGTTATAAAAGAACACAGGAAGAAACAGAGTTGGCCATTTTGATTGATTGTGATTTATAGTGTTGGATCATTGATTGAATATCAAGACTTTATCTTCAGACCTAAAAATAACATTTACTCAGAGGGGATTCATTCAGACAAATCCTCTCAAACTGGAGAGTCCATGGTCTAATGTTCATCTATTTTAGGTTACCCTAAAACTCACATACAAATAGTGGACTTGAAACAATACTTTACTTAATTCCATAGAATTAATTAACATACTTGTTAATCCCCCTTTTCTGTAAATGTAAATTATTTTTGTTTATCCAATTAAATTATTTTTCCCTTTTTGGGTTATGTTGTATGGCTATCTGGGATTTGAGGATATTGTGTGTTGTGCTGTTCCATGTTTAAACTCAGTAAACATAAAAAAAAAAAGACTCCAATAATTAACCTCACAGCTGCAAGAAGTAAGTGACTAACCTCTCCTGTGCCTACTCCTCCTGATTGTTGTTCGTCTTCGGGCCACTTGAGACCACAACAAAGGAAAATCTATTTAGTAAATGTTCATTTTCCCTTATGAACAGCTTAGCATGAGAAAAAATGCGAAAAGGATTTGGACCCGGTGGAGGTGCGACAGAATAAACCTTTTATAAATTTGATATATCTAAAAGAAATAAAAGGACAATGTTTTGAAGCCACATTCATCGTGTACTTGTTGTGATATTGGTGTTTTCTCCCGTTTTGTAAAACGGGAGAAATGATTTGGTGGTTTTGAGTAAGCTGTGGAGGAAGGCCCCGAAAGCAAAATCGGACCTATGATAAACACAAAGGGCAATAAAATATGTGACCTCTCTGCCGGCCAATACTAAAGTAAGTTGAAAAATAATGAATATCATGTGAAAGATGTGAATGAAAAAAGTTAAAGTTAACACCTGTAAAGTTGTCAGCACATGTGGGATTCTGTAGATAATTCGTACACAGTTACGAGGTACCTTAAACATTCAACAATTGAGCTCTGTGGTTTAGTCACTTGCTCAGGACGACGTCCAAATACAAAGCGGGTGTCGTGACGCAGGGAGATGAAGGATGTGACTCAGACAGTGGAGACGTTGCTGGGTGTGAGGGTGTGTGTCTCTGAGGCCGGCTGATCTTTGGGGCTGGATTTGTCCAGGACGGATATCTGAGTGACCGTGCTGCTCTCGGTGAACAACGTACGCCGCCGTTTGCTGTAGCTCAGGTAACTCTGAGTCTGCCACTTCCAAAACCTCTTCTTCAGTTCTGCTTGCACCTGAGCACACACACCAGCATCCGCGTGTGGAATAACACAGAAATAAAACATTACGACATGTTAAACAAATGCTCCAGGCGCCAGATTGAGGCTCAGGCTCCTCCTAGTGCTCCTGACGAAATCTGCAAGAACCCACCGAGCCTGAACGAAAACGACCAATCAGAGCCAAGACAGATATAGACGCTTTGAGTTGGAGGCTTCATTCCCAGGGTCCCAAAGCATCTGTATTTGACGCCGTGGGAATGAGACTCAATAATTAACTATATTTCTAGGCTCCATTAGGAGCACAAGGAGGAGCCAGAGCAACCTGATTTTTTTTTCATATCATCCGTCTCATATTCTCAGTTAAGATTTAGTGAAAGGTTCAGCAAATATGAAAACTTCTAAAAGTTACCTACTGCAGCTTTAAATAAAGATATTTTTACCCGATTAAACTACTTTACTGTGTTGATAAGACTGATGTTGATCACGGGTCAGTTATGAAAGACTTCGTAGAGTGCTCCGACAACCACTTTCCGATGTTAAATGTTCACCAAAACTAAAGATGAGGCCATCGACTTCAGGAAAACCTCCCACTCAAACTTCCAGACGGGACGGTTGAGTGCTAAGAGTATCCGAGTACCGTGACCAACACGATCTTTATTGCACTGTATAACAACACATTATGTAATAACAAGACAAAATTAAATACATTTTCATATCATTTTGTAACAATCTAATCTAATCTAACAAGCAGCCTAAACCTAAAATGCAAAGAATTTCCCCACATTTTGTAATAAATGATCAAATATTGTGGTGCACTGTTGAAAGAGCATTGATATAGAAATAAAAGCTTGATGGACTTTTTCCAGATTGGGATTTGACATGAAGTTCCCTGATTTTGGCTGAATCTCGAAGATGATAATAAGCTGATCTTGTAACTGCTTTTCTGTGGCGGATCAGGGAACATCGAGATCAGGGGGGCACCTCAGGGCCATCGGGGGTTTCGTTTAATATTTGGGAAGTTTAATTTAGATTAATTGTTAAAAATATAAGAGGTGTACAGATGAAGACATCCACTTTGGTTCATTATTACATAATGTACCAAATTATCACACATATAACCACCACAAAATCTAATAATTTATTATAAAACTTTGGGGAAAGTATTTACTATGTATTTAAATTACACTACACACTACTGCCTCCTGTGTGCAGTGTTCCTTATCAATCACATGTGTATATCCATATATAACTCTTCTTCTATTTCTATTATATTGTATTTTTATTTTTCCTCTCTATTGTGTGGTATCTGGAGCTGCTGTAACAAGCAAATTTCCCCAGTGTGGAATCAATAAAGTCAATAAAATCTTATTACAAAATGCAGCAGATTGCAGCAGAAAATGCAGGTGTTATTACATAACAAAGTCACAATTTATTAAACTTTGTCGAGTTATTACATAATGTGTTGTTGCACACAGTAATATTGATTTTATTCTAATTAGTAGTATAGTATTTACTTACCTCGCCATTCAGGAAACAGTAGAGCAGGGCCACAACAAATCCCTTCAGAGCAGAAAGATATGAACCAAAACTTTAAAGTTAAATATTAATATTAAAAGTATAGTGTACATTCTGAGCAACCTTCATCTGACACTGGGTCTCTATATTTCCATTAAAAATGTAACGTTTCTATATTTAAAGTGCCAGTTTCCGATTATAAGAGCTGTTTTATTTTAATGTTCTCATATTCATTTGTATCTGTGTTGTGTGTTTTACCTGAAAGGATCCCAGACCGAGCTCGATGAAGATTCGAGCCTCTGCTCCGGTGTTTTCTGGCAGGAAGGCAAACACCATGTAGTGCATCCCAAACAGAGGGATGAGGAGCAGGGTGGACTTGGCCAGCCTCCTGCACACACACAGTAAAAACAGACCCATAAAGACCGCATGTGGCTGAAGGTCATCTGTTTGTGTATCTATGTGTTTGTGGAGGGATATTTATTCTCTTCTCACTTAAAGTGGCTGGTGTCATTGCCACCGACGCCTGGAGATCTCAGCTTCTGGACCAGAATACGGATCACATTGATGAAGATGATGAAATTCACCTAGATTAAAACAAATGACAAAAAAAATGTGAAAGATCTGGAATAATATTTGTGGTACAACAAACCTACAGAGACCGCAGAATAAGGTAATCGGCCATTGAGGAGAAAAGGGGAATTAACCTCTGAGATACCTCACGTTTCACCTACACCTATAAATCATTTGACATCATGTGGGACATGCTCCCTAAGTGGCTTCATTAGTTCTGCTGATCAATTCCTGGGCTCCTCTTCCAATCAATGTAACTAACGGAGCTGCTTAGATGAATGGAGACTAACACAATTAGTCTCGCGATACCTGAGATCTCAGCGCCTACCAGTCGTCTGGGGATATCTAAATGCAAAGTAGCTCGAAGTAGTAGTTGGACATCCCTAGCAATGTTACATGGTTCGGCAGTGTTAACAAGCACAAGACATCCACATGTCACAGCCCTAAGAACTTTGGTTTGGTTCTGCAATGCAGGTTTTTGTTTAATTTAAACTCTAATTGTTCCCACCCAGTTTTAGCAACAAAAGTTGAGAAAAAGTCCCCAGTCTCAATTGAGTGAATTTACAGACTGGCTTGTGAGTCTAAACACAGCAGGTCCAGTTGCTTTGGACTTACTTTGCATCAGTTACAAACCCAGAAGCTCTTTGTTAGTTAGCAAAGCTAGCCACACACACACACACACACACACACGCAGACACGCACACACACACACACTGGGATCCAACAAGGCGGACTCGATGATTCTTATTTTCCAGTGATTATACATTATTCCCCCAGTGAGGCTTGTCACTGATGGCTGATAACACATTGGCTGTCGCTTCATATTGGAGGAGTCTTTCCCCAGACTGACAGAGGACTGCAATACAAGATAATTAAACACTCTACATTGGAGAGGAAATTAAATAAAATAAGATAGGCCTGAATAAAAATAAAAATCAGGGTTTAAGGAAGCAGAAAGCTTGTTTCTATCTCTTAAACAAAAAAAATCACACCGGCCAGAAAACGAGGAAGTGCACTGATTAGCTCCCGGCGTTTACTGCCAAAGATAACAATCTTGTCGACCATCTGGACCAGTTTTCCTGCTTCCAAGTAGGAAATGAATCAACTTTCCTTGATTTGTTATTGTTGCTTTTAATGTGAACTCCAGGTCCAGTAGCCGGTGCCGAGTCAAAACACAAGCCTCATCCAAGATTGAGGACTCTTATAATTCGTCAATAACTCCCGACTGCTCTGTACTCACCAGTAGTGATGCAGTTATTGGAGCTTTTATGATCCACCAGATGAAAGCCACATCTGTGTCATCCCAGCACCTGAGACGCACAGCAGACAGTAATGAGATAAACATGGCAGTCACAGAAGGACAATATTGTACATCTCATCAGGAAACACGCCACAACTCACTGTCCACTCACAGAACGTTGTGATAGAAACAGTAGAAACAAATTCGAATGGGAAACTCTAAATCCAACATTAACTCTTATTCATCTTTCATCCCTCCTGAGCATTCTGTAATCACCATGATGTATTAAACATAAAAAGCTAATGAGCTAATTAATTAATCTGACTCACTTACATAAAATAGTGATTATCTCTTTATGTAACACATGGCTATTAGTACAATCTTTCAACCTCCAAGAGGTACAGTAGTTCGCTGACTATATATTTTTATATTAATTTCTTATTATATGAACACATATTTTCATTTATTCAAGTATGAAGTTTTAATTTCATTTTGGTAAATAGACTTATGTGACAACATAAACATTGTGTTTTCTACTTTGTAATTTTGTGTTCTGTTTTGTGATTTCCAATTTGTTGTCATGTTTTCCCGTTTGCCGTTGTGATTTGCACTTCAAGGCCACCATACTCTTTGCAAGGCTAAACTAACTGGCTCCTGGCTGTAGCTTCATATTTGCTGTACATTCATGAGAGCAGATCCCTCAAAATGATTTCTTTAATTCCTATAAAGGGGGATATTTACTAATATATAGCCTACAAATTGCAACTTTTTAAATTTAGCAAGATATTTAATAATAGGGTTTTTATTTTTCTTAGATTTTACTGGTACAAAACCTCTGTTCAGCACACACAATTAGTTTGTAAAAAAAATGCCTATTGACTCTCTTGCAAAGTTTCTTCATTGTTATGTGAAGTTTTCTCTGATATTCTACTGCAGTAGCTCACCCCTTGTTATCATAGAAGTTGCGAGTGAGGATCCACGCCATTATGATCGTTGTTGGGAGACCTGGGAGGCACAGACAGAGTGACCTGATCATTAGTCGAGTCAAAGTTGAGCTCTAACAAGAGACATTAAGAGGGAGGAAGGATGAAAATGAAGGTAAACAGAGACAGGGGTAAGAGAGGGATCGATATCAGCGCAGCACCCACCCCAGCCGATGAGTATGTACCACCAGAAGTACTTCTTCTGGAAGACAAAGGTGAGAGCAAGCAGCGTCTGCAGGTACATTCCCTCCACCAGCAGCCAGAAGTAGTTGGCCAGGATGCTGAACTGGAAGAAGGCCACGGCTGATTTACAGGCTGTCTGTGGGACGAAAACAACAAGAGCAACAAGCTTTAGATTGGTCTGTGGATGTCATTTGTCTGGAGTGGTCGTAATGGTAATGGCCTCTCCCACCAATTTATGGGTCACAGGGTGCGTCTGTAATGATAAAGGTTATTGCAGGTCGTATATACTGAGGCGGAAATTCTTTGCTTGGTCAGACACATTTGAAGCTGTGAGGGTTATAATTATACTGCAATTAAGGTTAAGCCCTGCCCCCCTTTAGTTACTGCTGCCTCGCCTGTCAAACATCTTTCCAGAAAGTTACATAAGCAGTTTACAGCCAAACAACTGTGGAGTTTGTCAAGCTCAAGGCTGTGACTGGCAGCTTTTATCAGCTCTAAGTAGCTAGCCAATCAACTCAATGCTAATAACGCTGTGAGTGAGTTTGAGAAAAGACTGAGGATATTTATATTTCACCTTTTTGGTGGCGTCTCTCCATTTCCAGGCCATATTTGCTGTATTTGCACACAGCACACCACCTGCCCTTATATGAAATGAGGACTGTTGCTAGCAGTTTTTATCAGCCGTTGCTAGCTAGCTGACTTTGCAGTGTTTCCAGCTGATTCACTATTGGTAAAAAACCCTGTAAAAGGGTCTTAAATAGTCACATGATGTCACATGATGTGTCCCATGCAGAAGTCAGCATCCTTGCCAGTTGATGATCCATGCAGAATACAATAAAGGTGCAGATATTTTTGCAGAGCAGAACTAGTGAGAGCTACGTTAAAATGTTCATATTTTTCAAACGATATTTCAATTTCAGAAGAAGAAAAGGCTTGAGGATAAGAACTAAACAATGTGTGTAGGCTAATGCTAGCAAAATGAGTTTGGCTTGGGTTGTAAATACAATAGAAATATCTCAAACTTGTGGTCTTTCTTGTTTTGTCCCATTTTCTTTTTTATATATTACTGCTATACTTTTTTTTTGCCACCACAGATATATTATTGACAATTTAACGTTAACATTTTGCAAATATAGCCGACAGGCTGAACATCAGCATTCATTTTGACATTTTTTGTCCTCCATATAGTTCTCCACCAACCCCTGAAGAAGCTTAAGGGGTGCTAAAGCTGCTAAATATTCTACTTTCTTCACCAGATAACTTAACATTTCTGCCATTTGGTGTTGGGCAGGTATAATGTACAGTGAGTAGTAAGTAATTGATTAATACATTTTCCAAGTTATTTAATGACTGTACTTTAATTCATAACCCTTTTCCATCACCATCCACTCATCCATTTACCATTATTCGTTTTCCTTTTTCCTGTCACATTTTTATGTTTGTCTTAAAAAAAAAAGAGGGTTTTGGTTCAGATCGAGCACAAGAGCATTTTCTCATCACCATCATCATCATCATCTCCTCATCATTTCTCTCCTGTGGCCCTTTTTACCCAGATGAGTCACGGTGATGTGCTGATGCTAGTCCCTTCTATCCACACAAGAGGGACACTTACCTTCACTCCAGGCGGCCTCATCAGCAGATAACAGGAAGAGAAGCACTTGTCATTAATGCTCTCACAGGCTCCGCTCAGTCAGTCCCAGCAACTCAACCTACTCCTTCCCGCTCTCTACCGTAATAAGCTCTTCTGAGTTTGCGGTTCATGTTCCCGAAACAAAGTGCAAACAACTGGAAGTCATGTAGTTGTTTGTTCTTAGGTCTATCATGGCTCACTTGGCATTGCACTCTTATAACATTGTCAGACAGACAATTTAAATTCTAATATATCAAATTTGATGCAGCACAACCAGAGAGAGCATACATTTCCCACAACAAATGCTCAGTTTTACAGCAGAAATAAACATGTTTACAGCCTGATACAAAAAACTGTTTCGGTCTTTATAGCTAATTTTCCGTCATGTCAACTGTACAGGGGGTGAATTTTTACGCACCTGTTTAAATTATATTGAGGCTTAAAGTAATGTGACAGGTGGGTGCTATTTTAATTCATGTCATCATTCAGCCTGCCTCAGCTCCACTCACGTTCTACCTCTTTACCCATTTTTGGATTAGCCGGAAGTCACGTTACTATGGATCCCATTGGTTTTAATGGTAAGACACGCCCTGTGTAGCATTCATGCACTAGAATTGGCCAGGATTAAATATAGACACAGACAAGGAGCTGTATGGTTTTCATACTCACAGTCGACATGAAGCAGTGGTCCAGGTTTTCATCAGAAAAAAGAACGCCATCTTTAATGAAGACAGCGCTCGCTCTCAGGATGAAGGAGAAGAACAGGTTGATGTGGATGTAGTTCCTGGTGCAGTGAAACTTCCTGTAGAGCACAGAAAAACTTCCCTGAGTGATTGTATATCATATATCTGCATTTTGTAACAGTTCTTTTTCAAGCTTTAATGCCCGGTTGGGAAATCGTATTTAGTTGAGTTTAGTTTAACTCAAAAAGAAATGACAAAATACGTTATTTGTACATGCCCTTTCGAACAAAAATACAAACATTTTCAGATCACCACTTTTTTTGATGTGACAACTCTATGGTTAAGGTTTGGGTAGGTTTAGGGAACAATTGTGGTTTGGGTTCAAATTAGTACACAAATACTTTGTTAAGGTTAGTGGACCTTTGTTGTCATGATTACAATAATAAATATGTAGTTAAGGTTAAGTTAGGAAAAACAGTGGTGACTTGTGTTTAAAAAAACTGCTTGTTTTCCGCATTGCCATTTTGTCGACTAATTACTACGGCCACAAGAGGGCGCTGACACTTGGAGCATAAACGTATAATTTCAGGGCTCTTGCTGAAACGACTGAAGCTGTGGTTGTTCCTGGGAGGAGGGTCTCAGAAACAGTTACCTGAACACAGTGAAGACAAAAATAGCCGAAATGAGAGAGATGAGGGAGGTAGCGTAGCCGGCGGTGTACACCTGCTTAAAGTTGGAGAAGTACGTTGTCTGAAAGGCCAAACAAAAAGAAGAATTAGAGAAAGAAATGTAAGCATTTACACATGAACTATGAACTGCTCACTCACACCATTCACACTTAATCTAATCAAGTGTCAATTAGATGAGAACATTTTGCTTTAACTTGTGTAAACTGGTTCAAATGGAGGCAAAGTGCACGTGTCTCTTGACTGATTTGAATGGATGTGATTGTTTGCCTTTAAATCAGCTTTTTTTTCTGCCACCCCACGAACATTTCTCTAGATCCACCCCTGCTCAGAGGTGGTGCAGTTTCCTTGCAGAATAACTGAGGCCGAACAAGAAGACTACCAAGGAAAAGCATTTACCTCTGGTTCTGACACTTCATACTCTGTGAACACGCAGGCCTCCTCGTAGGAAGGGTAGAGCTCGGACCATCCATCCTCGGTGCAGTTCCTGTAGATGTAACCTGAAAAACACACATAAAGCTCTCAGTGGCAACGGCGGAAGAGACGCCAAGAGCAAGGCACCAGGGGAAGCTGAGAAATCTACAGACCCAATTAAGGAAGTGGAAGAGTTAAATAACTGACACACGACTAAAACAGGTATTTGGATTTGTGGGGATAGTCAGAGATTAAAGATTTATTAAATAATTAGTAGTTTCACTTTCCTCCTTTTTTGAGGTATTCGTCTCTGAGATTTATGCTAAGAAAGACAGGAAATTAAAGTGGATGTCGTTTTAAAAATGGAACAAAATTACATTTGGCAAACTGAAGAAATAATCCATCAGCACCACAAACAAAAATTTTACTACATGGGCAAAAGCAGGAGGACGCCCTGTCCTTTTTTCCTGGTTACCATCCCCCCCTTAGTCCCAATGAACAGAAATTTGAACTCAGCATACAGTGATATTTTAATGCTTTCAACTTTCTGTCAACAGTTTAGGGAAGGCCCTTTATCAATATTAAAATCACATAAAAGATACAACGGACAACTTAAAAGTGACAGGGAACAGTTAATAGAGGCAAGTTAAGAAAAGTGTTTGGTGATTAAAAAGAAGTGACTGAGGTTGCAAGACGACAGATTTCAACAGGAGAGCTGTTCCAGAGGTGTTTGTTCATCTGAAGTTAACAGTATGGGCACAAAATCTGGCTCATATGCCTCAGCCACACATTGGAGTGCTTCAAATGTAATGAGGAAATCCTTGAAATCAATTCAAAAATCAACTGGAAGCCAAATGCTTGGAGTCTGAATGGGAGTAAATCCCTGCAGCCAGGTTCAACATCTGCTGGAGAGACTGAAATTAAAAGAGTGGAGGCTGTTAGCAGCAGATTAATGAATATAGTTTTGAAATGAGATGTTGACATACCTTTGGTCATGTATTAACTCAGTCTCTAAAACAACACTGTGTGAAGGATAGTACAGTATATATTACTGCAGTTCGGGTGAACTAACCCTTTGAGATTAAACCATGAAGTGGAATCTACACACTCACCTACCTGCACACATTCAGTGTCAACAATAGTACAGACTCAGTGTTTGTTCTACAGCATCACATACAACATGCAAATACAGTGTGATGGCTGATTAATGTTCAATTTGTTGCCATTTGTTGATTCATCAGGCCCTAGCATGATTACGCAGCTTTCCTGATGAAGTCTATTAGTTTTTCTGGGACACTGATGAATAATAAGAATAAAGACACTCTCTTTATAACCGCGAGCACAGATGTTCTCAGAAGTGAAACAACGCCACTGCTTTTAATTAGGATGAGTGGCTGGGGATGCACACATGCACACTACAAATCAACAAGCCTACTACTACTACCACAGTCTCCATTCACCAGACAGACGTGAGGAGCTGGTTAGGATTTAGCAAAGGTCTTTTCGAGAGATTACTTTTTTTTCTCCACCCTTTTTTAGTTTTAGTCCATCTGGTTGGGCAAATTAAGGTAATACAATACTTTTTAGAGTCAGCGTGACATAAATGTCTTCCTCCACTCGTGTGTGAAGGTTTGTGCACAGTCCCAAAATGTATAAGCACTTTGACTGTGTGAATATATACATATGTGTGTGTGATTCATATAGATGATGTCAATCTACTCAACAGTGCTTTACAAGACAGCTAAAATACAAGATAAAAGATATCTAAAATAAACTGACTTTCAGCAGGAGAAACTTCAACCTGACCCAGTCTAAAGATTTTCTCCCTGATGTTGTTGTTGGTATATCTGCTGCAACACTGTAGCTTAGAGTAAAGAAGGTCCTCTTGTGGCAAGCAGTGTTTAAAATAAGCTTCAAGCTATTGTATTAAAAATAAAATAATAAAAGTTATTTTATTAGTGCAGCAGTTTTTGTGCAGCAAGTTCCTGTCACCGAGTGCTTGGGAATTGTTGGGTCAATTAATAAAATAATAATTTTATAATGAGTTGAATTGAACAGTCCACCAGGCTCTATAGAGTTCCTACGGAGCTACATACTCACACTCAAGCCCCCAAAATACACTTTTCTTTGTCAAAATCTGGTTAGTTAGCTAGTAGTTCACATGGAGACACATAGATGCTAGAAACCTGTCACCTGCAAAACCAGTGTTTTCCTACGGTATGGCGTGCCTGGTGTGCACTTCCCCTTTTGTGCCACGTGTCATGGTTTTCTAGTGGTTTTTAGACATGCGGATCATTTAAAATATTTTGTACTTTTCAACACAGGGTGCGGAGTCCCAGTGCTCCTCAGTGTCACAAACAGCCAATCCAACCAAGCAAGAGGCGGGCTTTACTACTTTCTTCCTGTATTGATGCCGTTTACTAGCTGCTAGATAGGTCGGCTCGAATCCACTTCCTGTATATGATTGAGCTGTTTTCTCCCAGACGCTCATTGCCAAAGCATGTTTTAAGTAGCCACGTCTGCAGCTCTTCCTTAGTGCTGCTACCTCTGAGCTGGGAACAGCCACAGTACAGAGCGACCTTTTCTCAAACATGTTGGGAGCCTGACTGGTTGCAATGCACTTTACAAGTGCAGTAATACTTAAATTGTGTAGTTCTAAATTTGGATGAATGGTGCCCCTGAAACAGAATGAAGCTACCGTTCCTTCACAAAACTGAACTCAATGCTGAATCAATGAGTCATTTAACTTTGGTTATATCTGCCTGTAAATCCAAAAGCAAACTTTAAGTATAAGAATACTTTAATCACTGTCCTAAAAGGTAACGGTTCTGTCAGGTGAAGGCTGTAAATGATGAATTCAAATGAGGCAAATTTGCAGCCGTGTTCTCCCACCATGGCCCGAAGTTAGAATGACGGCTCACTCGCCGAGCTCTACGACGTTCATGACGCACACAAGGTCATTAGCTTTTCTGCGTGAATCTGTGTTTACAAGAGGGAGGATAAAAAGTTTGCAGTGAAATAACAGATTTCATGGTGTGAATATGCCTGTCCGGCTCCTCAGCACAGCCGAGGAGAGAGTGTGGGTTTTGAGTCGTGGGTGGTTTTGCCGAAATCCAGCTGCATTAGCCTCAGTGTAATGTGCTGAGCAGAGCCCGCAGGCCTGCAGCGTCGGTGGCTCAATGGTTGGATGTGAATGGAGGTTGAAGGCCGAGGCTCCGGGGAGGGCACCGGTGCTCACACCGCCATGCTTAACAAGCAGTGCCAATTCCTTCCTCATGCTCTTGGCTCTTACAGTGAACTCTTTGATTTTCCAATTCATTATTTTCTCTGCATGCAGCCTCCTGTTGGATAGGCTGGATCTATCCGCTACAGCTACAGCACTCAGTGTCTGTGGAGGAGGAAATCCAGCGGGGTACAGGAACCCACTAACACTAAGTTATGAGGTCATCAGCAGCAACCTCTGCCTCCTGATCCCTCGACACAAAGTATACGCTCAACTTTCAGGGTGTGTGTTTTTTCCTCGGCTTTGTGCTTGTATTCTCACTGCTGTTGGAAATCAGTGTGCATCATTTCTGCACCGAGCATCCCACATACTGTACATGCTGGGGCGGCAGTAGCTCAGTGTGTAGGGACTTGGCTTGGGAACCGGAGGGTTGCCGGTTTAAGTCCCACAGACC